TAAAAATAGTTATCAATCCTAACTTGTCTTAGAATTCTGTCTACCTGTCTCCTCTTTATTAAAAATCACCTCGCTCATACCCCATCGTGTTGCTGCATAAACTTCGATTCGACTTGTCCTTTCTTCAACATTGGTTTATAATTCACTGTACGCGCATAATTGGTTAACTAATTTCAAGACAATGGGTTTGGTCTTTCGTCTACCTCCCAAAGAGTATGAATTTCTAGCACTTATTGTGGCTGTCTACTGGATATTAGTTATTGGTCATGCAGCCGCTGATTACAGTCTACTGATTGGAATTCCTTTGCTGCCACTGATAATCTTACAGATTGCCTTACTTTTACATGTCTGGAAAACGTTAAAGAAGCGTGCAAAATACCAAATTGCTACCATAAACTAATAGTGCTGATTATCAATTTGGATCTAAATAAAACCGAAGTGGATTTTTGTTATTCATTCAAAGCAAACTGTGGATATTTTAACTCTTGATTCTCGATGTTTTTCACTTTATAGCGTTGCTGCTTTTATCGGACGCTGGAAACTTAGAATTATGTGCAATATTTCTTGTGTTGTATATATTTTTGGCTGTGAATTCTCTCCATTTGACTGTTATCATTTTGTTTATATTGAATAACAATGAATTCTGTAATACTACCACTAAAATATATTTTCTTACTGTACTTGCAGGTAAAAGTAATCTAAATTTCAAACTTATATTGCTGTTTTGTCTTACTCATGCCAAGTTAAGATTAGATTCTCGTTTTCGTTGACACATGAAAGTAAAAAGGAGCACAGATCAATGTTTACTTTCGTTTGGATAGGGTTTATAGTAAAATATGAAAAGAAAACTTAATTGACTTTCCTTCTATGGATTACGTTTATCATTAATCTACTTACACTTACCAGTAATGTGTTGGTCAAATCATATTCACAGATAAAAGAACAAGAAATTTGATAATGCAAAATACTGTTTAGCAAGATCTATCGTAAAGCAAGATTAACGTATGTTTGGTTGACATATAATATCTACTACGTTCTCACTTTTAAGTATAAGCGGTTAGCGCCTAAGTAAATATATTGTGTCGTACTGTAATTGCATTTTTATTTTGCAATCGGTGCATGTATATAGACGATTACTGATTATCACCTTGTCATCTTTACTAATTTATTTTTAATCAGTTAAACATCTGAAGTTTTATAAATTTGTGAACACAAGAGCAGCTCATCATGTCACAATGATACACTTCAAAGCAACACCCAGCGTATAGCACTCGGAATAACCAGATGACGACAATTAAATAACAGGAAAAAATAAATCGGTGCAGAACAGTGAGGTGTACTTCATTAATATTTGTAGGACATCTCTCATTCTATTTGTCCATCGTTAGGCGTGATCATTTTGTAGCCATAACTTTGTGTTAAAAGTCGTTGAACACATAACTCGTCATTTTCGAGTTGTATTTATTGTAATACATCGTTTATTTGATTAACCTGTAATTATCAGCTATATACATATTTTACTTCATTGATGGCACACAGTCGTCAATTTTTTAAACTCTGTTTTACACATTCAGTGGTTACGTCTCACTCAAACAATAATATAAAAAAGTATTGTACAATGGTGCATCATTTTCTTCAATGATGCATATAAGCACTTATCAGTTACAATCAGTATAATATCTGGATTCAGGATTTCTTTCCCATCATCTTCGACTACCTAAAATCAGTGCACCATGATATTGGGTCATTTAAAATAATAATTGGTCATGTTTCAGCTTGATCGATGGAATTCGTTCAACTCTAAAACTTAACATTACGGTGGGCAATACTCAGTGACCAATCAATAAATCACACTTTTTTTAAACACTAATTAATTAGTTGTCACAGTCTGCATTAGTGAAGCAATTGATGACTTATTTCTATTAAGAATTGTTTGGTTGAAAATTATGAATGATATTAGGTGACTGGTAGTAGTTGTCAAGAAATCCTGCACTTGAGTTGCGTGCTTGTCGGTACCTACCAATAAAGGATACCCGCAACCTTGACAGGATTGATGCTTCCTATGTGATTGGGACCCTCATCAAACAATTTCACAGTTTAACTAAAATGTTACTACATGATCAACAGAATCCAAGCTCCACCAAAGAACACTCACTTTATTGAACAGTCATTTTTAGGTTTGACTAATTCTTAAAATTTTGGCGTTCAAAAGCTTTGAATGTTTATAAATTCCTAATATTTCCACAAAGAGGCAGTCACAAAAAAACTCGTGAAAACTCCAGTTCCAATATGATTTTTTTTCAAGATTATCAACAGTTTAGTTAGTTGATTAAATCTTAAAGCCGAAGAAAACCCAGACAGTAAAGTTCTATCTCATATAATCAACTTTTTTGTAACGAAAAAGATTGAAGTTATGTCAACCTTGCTGGTCAACACAGTCTTTAGGAAAATGCAACCACTTCTTCAAGGTAGTAACTATCAACTGAGAAGTATGTAATGTTTTAGGAAAAAAATACACCATTTACTTCCTATCTATTGATCTCATAATATCAATCGTTATTACGATTATTAGTGGTAGTAAAGTAGTAGCGTAGTAGTTAAAATATTTGTCTTTTAGCTATGCAGTTGTAAGTTCAAGCCGCATGATATCTATTTTTTATTCGGTTCTGTAGTACCAATAGATCTTAATAACTAGTTTAGATCTAATAATTTCATTATAACAATTGCTATTTATTAATTTGGCTTTACGAAAGTAATGTAAGTTTTGACTCTTTTGTCTAGCCGAGTTTATTGCATATATGTTCATTTATAGATTGCTTTAAATGCTTATTTGAGATTGCGGCTTCAGAGGGACGTATTGAAAGTGATGCACAACGTTTTCAGCTGATTGTATACTCTTAAAATCAGATATGCAGATTTGACTATGTGATAATAATCGTTAAAAAAATACTCGAAGCAATTTCTTGACTATTTCTCCTACTTATTACTGTTTATTTTAACTCAAACAGTTCTATGTGTGATATTGTTTTGTTCTCGTCCATAATTTTCCTTAAATTATCCTGGGTTTAAGTGAATGATTGAAAGAATAAGTGTTAGGAGTGTAGGGAAGATTACTTTAATGTGTATTTCGTCAACTACCCTTCAAGTTTATCATTATTTCATTTTTTCTTTTTTACTGAAATAATTTTTTATAATGTGTTCAATTCATTTTATCTGTCACACTAATACAACCCTCTTTTTATTTATCTTTTGTATACTATTAATGATGATTTCTACACTGAATCGGTCAGTCATTGTTAAGGTTGCCGCTTTTATTTCATTTTAGTAAAAAAACGTGATAATCATTATTTAAACAAGTTCATTAACTATACGCTGAGATTGTCGTGAATCGGGATTACGAATGATTGAGAGATTCTTCTGATACAGAACGGAATCTATGATAAATGTATAGGCTGAACGACTAATACACAACTCTTGAATAGTTATTCCCTGCAGGATGGAATATTGAGAAATGAAGCCTTGTTAAAAGGAAGATGTATTGGTTAACTTAACGGAAAAATCACTTTTTTATGTTATAAACTGACAGATTAATGTACAAAATATTGATGCAAAATAAACCTCATAGGGGACCGGGAGAATTTAGTCTGTCGATCAATCACTTTCCAATCAGTTAAAACACCAAACTGATTGTTAGGCCTAGTTCGTTTCCATTGTATCAGAGATGAACCTAATTCTGATAGAAACAGACATTATTACTCATTTCTACAGATTTAGCTATAGAATAAAATGAGTTTTAATGGTGAATCTCATTGCACTGACGTGGTCTAGCAATTTAGGCTAATGCATATGTGTCCCGTTATTCTATGTTGCTTATGACTGACAGAATCCTCAAACTATTGAAATAAAGCTGTATATTTTGGTTTTTATGTTTCAGGTGTGTGTGTTGTATTGTAATACTTTGTTTTCGAAAAATAATTAAAAAAATCAATATTTTCGTGTATATCCAGTACATCTTAGGAATTCATATAATAAACAGATAATTGCTATTCTGGCAGTGTATGTTGTTTAGCAATTACGTTCCAAAACGATGATAGCTGAGTCATTTTTTCTGCCTCCTCTTAATTACTTACTAAGAATTGTGATTGTGATTGGTCTAGTGCTAAATCTCCAGTATGAAGTTACAAAATGTCTGCGAGACTATAATCTATAGACGACCTTTGTGTGAAACTGGTGTTAAAACGGTAATAAATTAATGTGAGGAATTGCGGTTAGGCATTAGGGTTGAAAGTTAGGGTCAGGGGATTATATTTAACTTTCTCTTCACTAACTTACATCAGCTATAATGCCAAAATGCAGTCGAACGATATGGCTGAAAAAATTTTCGCTCCGAAATCTGGGAGGTGCTATCCTACGTCCGATTGGTTCATTCATAAATTGTAGTCACTGAGTGGTTTATTTAATATACTACTCATTAAACAACTGAATACATTTTTATCAGTATAAGGTTTCGGAGGTTGTTGAGTTTTTGTTGTGATCATGAACCGATCAATGTGAAACCATCATTGGAAACCTGGCAGCACTGGGCGACTGTTTGTCCTAGTATGGGACATCTCAGCAGTACGCGTACACGATCCCGCACGCGAAACCCGAACTCAGGACCTGCATTCTCGCGTGAATGTTGAACCTCTATACCACTGAGTCGGCATCTAACTTCAAGCAATCCACTATATAGCACGACCATCTTCCATTGTCTTCAGTGGGTGCCTGACTCTCGACACGGTTTCCAATGGTGGTCTAGCATTGATCAGTCCATGGAACCCTATGACACACTGCTTTTGGTACTGAAGTTAATACAAGCAATTCGTCAACAGATCACCCACAGTTCTTCTGTTTACTGAACTAATTGAACAGTTAGTTAGTCACCAGCATATATATATATATATATATATATATATGTATATATATATATATATATATAACTACTCTCGTTGTTCGGTTGTAGCAGTCCAAAGTGTATACTTAACAGCTTATTGTTTACATAGGTTAGCAATTGTCAAGTATCCAAGTGCGTATGTAAGTGTGTACGAGAACTGAAGTCCGTTTTTTTTCACCAGGCATCGATTTTTATTAAACCACACGCTTTTAATATTAATTAATATGTTTACTGTTAGTTATGGTTTTTCATCTATTTCACACTAGCTTAGGCCAATTGAACTGACGAAAAATATTTTAATCTGAACGTTAGTATTTATAGAGTGCGTTCCTATGGTGTTTTTCTCCTATCGTTTGTTTGGTAAATCAATTCATTCATTGGGGCAAAAAAAAGATAAATGGATAGATACTAAATACTGTATGCATGCATTGGTTATCCGAGCTTTTTATGTGACCCTGTGATCGACCTATCGTGTGTGTGTAAGTCTTGCCTCCTCTGTGGCCATAACACTATTGTGAGTGTGTTTGTATATGTCTGGATTTTATCAGTCATGTAGTCAATCAGTAGTAGTGGTTCACTAAAACTGTGCCTTTCACATTTTTGGATGCGTTTTTATTGCATGTCTTACTTCTGGATCGATTATATTCGATTTTTATTTTTACATTTACGTTCTTATTTTATTCAACAAAACGTGGAGGTGTATCGTTATTTATTGTCGCATATAGTTTGCTGTTACGTGAAAATATTCTGTATAATTTAAAAATGCTCTTTGACGGAATAGTTTCTATAATCACTATCTCACTACAATTACTAACTGGACCTTTAAAATCAAGTCGGGGCATTTAATTACGGTTTCAGTAGATGATCTATATTCAATATAAAATCTAGTGTATATTGGATACTATTTAATCAGACGTTTTTATGCGGATTTCACATTTACATTTCATTTGAAGCATTATCATGCCTGTTCTAGTCGGAACACCTAGTTTGATCCTTATTTCACGTGTTCAAGTTTATCAGACGTGTTCTGTTGATCTGGCATGGCAACGTGCAGTTCATGCTTGTCAGCGTTGTCCTAAAGCCACGTTAACCACAAATGCTGTTACACCTTTAATAAGTCCGTCTGGTGGCGATCGTGCAACCTCTAGGTTCTGTCCTGCAGGTGTGCACATGAGTCATTGTGTCCCAGCGTCGGAGATATTTGGTGCTACTAGTAAGTCTGTTACTACTGGTGCTCATTCTGTTCTGACCAATAGTGATACTCATGGATCAGTATCTCCTGCTCATTTATCTTGGGGACCACCAGATTTACCACTTCCTGCAGCTAGTCCTAATCACCCTGTACATGCCGCTCATATCGCTAGATCTTCATATCCTCCTGCTTCATCTCCAACTTCTTCAACCTCATCTACTCCTTCAGTCAAAACAACCACATCTACAACTGTTCATCATTTTCACCCTGTACACCGTTCAAAACCATTGGATTCTAAATTTGGACTGGTTGAAAAGATTAGTAGTACGGCATCTGCAACTATTACTCCGACTTCAACTATTTCTCCATCTTCAACCACCACTGATATAACACCTTCGGTCCTACCAGATAAGAATATTGTCGAAAAACGACTACCATCAATTGATGTTAGCGAAAAAGACATTGATTCAGCAAAATCCGATAACACTGAATCCGATAAACCTCATTTTAATTTGTCTATTCAAGATACATTAACAACTAAATCTCGTAATGATATAAATGTTTGTGAGAATAATTTATCATCATCACATAAGGATTCCTTACGAGCTGAATATAATAGTGAAGTAAGCAAATATTTCAAAGTAGTTTTATGTTGTTTCACTCATTTTTTGGTTATACTAAGTTCTAAACCTACCGAGATGGCTGTATTTTATCTTAGTAGTGCTATTCATTGTCTTTTTCTGCGCTTTTCGTGTTTTATTTATTGGTTAAAGTAGTTCCCTTGTATTGACTAGTTTGATTTCATCAAAGGTTTGATTTGGATAGAAGATTCTGTAAAGGAGGTAACTAAGTTTGGTAATTTACGTTTAATGTGGTGTACGCTTTGTATAGTACTCTTTTCAGCTGTTTATCACAGTTAGTGGCTGTTGTAAGTGACGTGATTAAAATGAAGGTTTTTGATCATAGGTGTCCTCGAGGCATTGCTCGCGTCTCATGAGATGACCGAGCGAGCAATGTTAAGGTTAAACTTTGGGTACTTTGGAAAAGCGACACGTCGGTTGATGAGGTATTGGATATTCATCGACTGAAGTGGTAAGAACATGTGTTACATATGACTAAACACCACCTACGTCGACGAGGAATGTTTGTTAGCGTAGTTTGTGAGATAGTTAGGGCTAACCAAACCAAAACATGAGATTATTCCATGAAGTCACTGACTCGATGTAAACCATGCTAGCAGATATGGACTACCTGTTGGGACCCATTCTATAACTGCGATCAGTGTTTGGAGAAGCTGGGTGACATGGATTCAAATCGGTCACAAACGCACAGGTTCATTCACTTTTTATCTTTGTCTAAATCTTGGGTTTCATTATTCCTTCATACGCATACCTCTTCATTCCTATCATATTCTCAATGTTCAATATTCTACATCATCACTGCTACTACGATCTCTTTCGTGTCTTGCATCTGGTCGTACTTATCTAGTTATTATTTATTTATTTATTTAAACACATAAATATTGGTACAATGAAGCACCAGATAAATATGCGCCTCACAAATCTCATTCGATTTGTGTGAAGGCTGTGATACTGCCCAGGTGCCCAGACTGAAGCAGGTGGTTTTCTTAGGGGGCCACACCCGGAGCCTATGACCTGAATGTCTGATCCACAAGGCAGTGGAGCATCGTGAGGAGATGCAGTCCCATGGTAGTCGTTGACCAATGACAGGTTCGTCCGCCATTTGTTCCATCAGGATACTGGAGCCCATGTGCACCATTGGTTTGGAATCAGGGTTTTCCAACTCCCCTAGGTGGACCCTCCATGTCCACCGACCCGGTTAAATGGCCGGACATTCGCATTTCGTCCTCTCACTTTCGTAAACAACAGTAGTGCCACGAGAAGGCAGTGAGTAGGACTTCCCTGTCAGAGGCTATATATTCACTGGCCATATGAGAGTATTTCGAGAGGGAGAGTGGACTCTCCCCACTCTCGACCGTACCAGGGCATTTGGGAGCTAATGATCCTTCCGCAGGATCACCTACGGAAACAAATGTAGAATAAAATGTAGAATAAAATTTTAAAACAAGTAGCTGTGATTGTCAGAAAGGTTTAAGTTACCAAGTTTATGAATGTGCCAATTGTTAAATCAATGTGTGAAATACTGTAAGTTTCTCGACTAAATATTTTAGACTCAATAACCTTGGACTTTTACTGATGTAATATTTCTAGACTGGCTTCAGTTGCTCTAATTAAAGGTACATTATTTAGTCTATGATTCTACAATTATTTTCCTGATAATTATTATCTTTTAATTTTCTGCTACTGTTAATATCACCACTTACTTAGTTTTCATCACTTCTTTTTGTTAATTCCATTCATGTTGTTTGTGAAGTATGGGGATGATTTGGATGAATGGGAACAAGTCTTTTTTGAATGGTATCTTAAGCAAACTGTGTAATTCGCTTGTTATCAAACTTAATAACATTGTTAGTTTTTTATAAATAAACTGGGTTCAGGTATAATAATTTGATCGTTACTAATATTAGCTGGGAAAATCACGTTATCTTATTTAAAATTTGTTTGCGGTTCACATATGTCCTATCATGTCTTAATGTAGTGAGGATTTGACTTTACTTTCACAGAATTATAGCATAGTCAGAAATATTTTACTACTTATGAAAGATCTAGCAAACTTCATGTATAGAAACTGAATAGGGAAGATTCAAGTGCCTTAGTACTGTCGAGAGTGGGGAGAGCCCGCCCTCTCGCTCGAAATGCTCTCATACGGCCAACATGAGAGTAAGCTCGAACTAATTTTTTGGGCTTGTTATTGTCAATTAAGATTTAGCTGTAATATAGCAGTTTTGTTTTAGTGATTGTAAATGCACGGTTTTAAAAAGCTTTTAGGAATCATCGTGACTCTAGTCTGGCCATAGGAAGTAGAACGTATAGCTTTAAAATGCAAGCGGTTTTTTTTTGCTTTTATAGAACCTAGTCTCTCCCTAAGCTAAATTTTCTTCGTAGGTTCTCGGTGTCTTATTAGTTCACTATTCAGTTTACTCTTCCATTGTTAAGGTTATTTTATGTGAACTAATAATAATAATAATAATAATAATAATAATAATAATAATAATAATAATAATAATAATCTTTTAATCAATTTGACGTTGCTATGTCGTAGTCGTAGCACACATTCATTTCAGAAATGTTATATAATTGTCACCACACATACACGAATGCACAGAAAAAAATACATAAAACGCAGCTGGATATTGTTAGTAAATTCCTTTCTATTCATTAACCTTACATTTATCGATTAGCTTTCTGTATAGTAGTAGTAAGATAGAGAGTAGATGACTGATTACTACTACCTCAATTCATGTTTTAGATATTTTCTTACTTTAATCTACTATCTGCAATTTCATTAATTTACAAAAGTAAATTTCTATTTGCGTTTTGTTTTCAATTAATTTAATGTTTAACACACAAACGATAGTTGACGATACTGTTACTCCTTAACCGACAGAAATTCCGTATGAACCTTTGTCTTTTTGTGTTAGCACTCTTCAATAGATGTTTTCAAGATTTAAGAAATCCTTAGTTCCTCAATCAGGAGTGAGGTGACGCAAGGCCTCTACCGCCCCTAATTTTTTATGAGCGTTACCTGCCTTGGTTACATAGTGGTTGTTGAAGTCTCGAGTGGAGAAAACTATGACTTTCCTCAATTTTACAAATGCACGCCTTATATAGAGCATAAGTGATACTAGGACGCTAACATAAGGGAGTTATTTAGAGCAGGATTCCACTGATTCTTACCCTACGGTTGTAGAATTCGACCCTTGATAGTAGGTGTGTAGTCTACATGTAGTTTCTCATAGATTTCTTCCATGCATTAGTGAAACTATGAATTCAGTTACGCGTAGAGTGCTATTCATAAGTTTCACATCTTTCGTTAAGGTTATGAATATTCATTGAGTGTAAGGTAGTTCAGAAGTGTGTTACTGTTGTTTAATCAATGTTTTTCTCAGTATATCATTCTGTTTAATCGTTTTTGGGCTAATATGGCTGCAATGAATGCAACCAGGTATATAGGTTCATGTATTTGACGGCGAAGCACAATGTAAATCTGAGGTCTACTGATTATATCCAGTTGTTTTGAAAACCGAAATAATAAGTGTGATGTTCGAATCTACTATCTAGTTGCTAAGAGTTTAATGTCTTAATTACCGATTCATCTAGGGAGGTGAACACTATCTTTCTGTGTTCACAAAAGATCTTTACTGTTTAATTCAAATTATGTAAACCAAGCGAGGTGTGCAATAGTTTTCGAGTTCATTCTTGCCATTCTCTTGAATCTTAAACATAGAATTGGATTTGTTCCTTCTGATGTTTCTTTATTATTTTTTAGGCAGGGTAATACTGTCAACACTATGATTTTATTAATTTAGAAGGCTTGTGAAGGTTGTTGAATTCTATAATTTGCATCACGGACTGTGATTAGATAACCTTTGAAAGTCAAGAATTACTGGATAGTTATTTCTTCTCAGTATAGTAATAATGGTAGCCTAATCCAATTTCCTTCCTCTTAATTTTGTATTTCTATATAGGGGCAGTAAACATTGGCAATTTTAAAATGTTACACATTTATGTCAGTTTTTACGTTATTAATTCAGTTTATGGAATTAGTACATTTAATATTACACACTTGCTTTGTTTTGTGAAACTTAACACTTTTCCATAAAACACAATTTTCATCTCATCTACTGTTGAATAACATGTTATTATGTCATTTTTACTTAAAATTCAACGGTCATTATATTTGACTTTCGTTTACTTCCCCTTTTTTCAAATTCATTATTCACTTTGAATGATGTAAGTAAACGCTCATGACTAGTATCTCTAAGAAAAACTAGTTTTAATACATAATTAATTAGACAATAAAATTTCATATTAATCTGGTTATTTTTCAGCTATAGCAATGCTGATTAGGAACTTCATAGTTTATTTTATTAAGATTGTAGTAATTTTGGTGGAATGTCACTCACTTTTAAACTATTGAATGCGCGGATCTGTGCATGCTTTGATTCATTGTTTCACTTCTCAAGTTTACATTGTACAAGGCGTTGAAAATCATTTTATCTATGAGAAATTGTTATATTATGCCAGATCTTTTGATACACTAGTTAATTTTACTCTACTGTTTTATTTTCTAGAGCTCCGTTGAACAGCCGCATATTGCAAATAATGTAGCGTATGAAAATAAATCCAAACAAGAGAATGGAGTAATAACTATTTGTTCAAAAGTTACACCAAACTCTGAAAATCAACTAAGTGTAGATAATGAAACAAAACATTCATCCCAGACTACTAATATCACTGCTACGAATAAATTTTCAAATCATGATGCAGACATTGACGATGTAAGCAGAATTAAAACAAATAAAACAACTCTACGAACAAATGATCGAATTGGATCAAAACAACACACTCCTACGGTTGCTTCAACACCTGCTGAAAGTAATAAGCCAGATGTTGATGTAGTCGCACATCAACAATCTCATGATAATCAACATGAAGTTAATAGACACCATCGTATTCATTCCTCACAATCAAAAAGTCTTGTTAATTCTGACGGTATTCTTGAAGATGTCACATCTTCAATAAGTAAGGTAAATGTACCTAGTCATACTGACTCTACTCATTCATCGTCTATGGATTCTACTTCCTGTGTTCAAAACAAAGGATTTGCTATTCCTTCTTCTCCAACTCGAATACATAAAGCATTACCAGCATTTCATTTCCCACTTGGAACTACTCGGATGTCTAATGAGGATATTAACACAGAATTAGAACGTGTTAAACAAGAACTTAACCAATTTATTGATTCCTCACTAGATTCCGGGAAATATTCTGATCCGTTAATTCCTCATTCATGTTTTGGACAAGTTGCAAAGGTACGAATGGTTTCTTAAAAACAAAAGTTTCCATTTCATGTATAAATCCATCTTTCTATTTTCTTTTTTATCACTAATTTTACACGTTGGATTTTTCTGAGAATTCTGTTTAACTAATATCACTTTTGAAATCAATGAATTTGTTTATTAGCTTCCTGTTCTGAAGCTTTTTGTTATCGACTAAATAATTGTTATTTTAATTAGAACTCAACTTTTACTACGGTGATTGCTAGTCTGTTTTTTCGTGGTTTACACCATGGACTGATCTTAATTAGTCAACCATTGTAATACAGGGAGTACTGCAGTTTCTTCGTCTTTGTATAAGACTCATTATCTATATGCATGCACATTCCCCGTGATTGGCTCGGGGTTTAATCCCTTGTGGTGACGGGCTGTGGTTGAGCACTAAAATGTAGTCTTATGATAGGACAAAACAGCTCCCTAGTGCTCCCTAGTTTTTAATTGTTGTTATATTAAAATCAGTCGATAATGTAAATCATTAAAATTCAGCAACTTTCACAAATCCTCATAGTTACTTTTTTGTTCCCATGACAAATGTAATGTAATTTTTCATCTTCCTGCTTCTTGTTCAGTTTAGTAAACTTTCTCCGTATTCCTCAATGCATGCTTTTTTATATAGAGAAGAGAAATAGACTTTAATAGCATTGTTTTATTTATTAAATATCATTTATTTTACTTCAAATACTGATTGAAAATATTCATCGCTTTAATATTTAATCATTGCGATATTGGCAGTTAACTTAATCGTCACTCGCTGAGCAAGTGTAGAACCATTGTGGTATTATATATTCTATCTTACCATATAGCTTTAAAGCCCATTATGTGATAGTAAAACAACTGCGAACGCAATAATGAAGGTCTCATTCTAAATTATTACTGCCACGACTGAATGATGGTATTCGTTCTCTGGTGTTGTTATAGTTTATCATCGCCTAGTTTGACTGTAGAGAAGTTAGTAACAGAATATATTGACCACTTTGTGTATATTAAAAATCTCATCATCTTTCCGATTACTGCTTATGCTTTTATTACCTCCACCACTATGGGATATGAATCGACAACTGTATCTCTGTGCTAATGTGGTATGGCAGCTTCAACTGATGTATGTACGTACGAAGTTCTACGTTGTTACTATCTGTTTGTCATTGTCTTTATTTGGTTGTTTGCCAATGAAATAGGTATACTTCACGGCACTTCTCTCTTTGAAATATAATTAATGGAAACTGATGAGATTGACAAATTTCACATTTTCGGTCATAGACGTTTCCAAATAATAATAATAACTGTTGTTGTTATTATTTGGCCACATAAATATTGGTACGAAGGGGCACCAAATACATATGTTCCACACAAGTCACTTGATTTGTGTGTGGGCTATAATACTGCCCGGGTGTTCAGACGCAGTCTCATGGTAGCCGGTGATCAATAATTGGTTCACACCACTGGAGCCCATGTGCACCATTGGTTTGGAATATGGGTTTTCCAACTCCCCTAGGTGGGTCCCCCATATCTACCAACCGGGCTAAGGCACCGGACATTCGCTTTTCGTACTCTCAATTTCGTAAACAACAGTAATTCCGCGATAAGGTAGTTAGTAGGAATTACCTGGTAGTGGTTGTATATACGTGACCATATGAGAGCATTTCGAGAGAGAGAACTGATTCTCCCTACTCTCGGGCATTTAGGGGCAGATGATGAAACTATTTGTGAGCGACGTTGAGGTTAAAAGTAGAACATTAAGAAAATACAATAAACCAGTTGATGAGACTAAATCCTCATCGCTCGTGGTTCGTTAGATTTGTTCTGTGTATATCTTTCCACCATCTACTCAAACATAGGAAAACTGTCTGATATTAAAATCGGTTGGAGGAGGTCGAATTGTGACATTGCATCAATTTGTGAAATAATTAACTGTTACGTTGAAGCGTGTCAGTAAATGTAGATTACCTGGTTTGGTCGCATGTGATAATCCTGATCAATTGATGGACATAACACATGTACTTAGTAAACTAGTTACATTGTTATCGTGCTTTGTCAGCACTACAATTAACCACTTTTGTATAATGTATATTTTTCTTTTACGAGGGAATACAATATAATGTCAACTTTTAATCGTTAATCAAGCGCTTCTATATCTGTTTATATATTTGAATTCTGTAATTCTTATTTGATCTTATCATCACAAATATCCATAATTTGTTCCTGATATTTCTAGGTGCTTAATTGTCCACTTTATTGGAAACATGCAATTTATATGAATGCTGGCGGTACACCAGATCGACAACCAATCACCTTGTCAAACTTATTGAAATCATGGTCTCAGTAAGTTGAAGGATTTTTTTTATTTGGATTGCGAAAAATAACATTTCCCTTAATCTTATTCACACACCAGAGGTAAAGTTTTGTTGAGACAAGAAATTATTACTTGTTACATATAAAAAAACATAACATCGCATTCTTAAAATCAATATTCTGTTGACAATAAACACATTCACAAACAAAATACGCAATTGAACACACTCATTTACATTGAATTTCTTGGTTTGTTTACATACATTTATCTTAATTTTATAAATATTTCTGTGATTGTTATTGTAACTTACGTCATGTGCACGTGTTTTAGATAGTTTATTTACAGTGTCATTTATACTTTTCATTACATGTTGACGTAGTTAAATATTAGTATAGAGTAAAGGATTGTAGATGTTGTAGAATTTTCGTAGTTTATATCACGAAATGATTTTAGCGTAACTACTGAAGGTTCTGAGTTTGATCCCCAATGAGTCATGAATACGCACAGCTGAGTCCTACTCTAAGACGAAATAGTTGTTCAGTGGTTTCTGCTTTTAAATGGTGATCTGATTAAGAAGAGTGAATAGTCACAATTGAAATTTCTTTATCAACTTGTTTTAAAAGAACACAGTTAATTTGAGTAGTAGTGTTGTTCAATTGGATATATATTTCAATATAGTGAGATCATCAGTTTGGTTTTACTGGAAACTAATCGACTTTGTGTCGTATGCGAACATTGAGAATTAGTCTATTTTTACCACCGCTGTCGAAAATGTTTGTTTAAATACTTCCTATTTTGTTACATGTATTTTATAATTTCAAATTGAATTTTTCACAACGAATTTCCTTAAGCTATTCATCTCATCAAAATATGGTTAACGTTTTAGTATTTTGCTGTTTCACCTTATATTGAAAATATATTTATGTATAGTGGTTGCTATCCTACTTAATCGTTTGTGATGTAACCTATGAGCCAAAATCTCAATATTTGACTTCACGATTACCTGGAACTACGTAAAAATACTAGAACCAGTCTATATTCAATTATTATCAAGGATTATCAGAGGTTGATCATTTAGTTAGTGAGAAATTAGTACTTTTCAATGTTTGTTAAATAGTACATTTATATCATGGGTTTAATAAAATTGGATGTATGTTATAACTTGTGCCCGAGTGGATGCCCTGTTAACGTATGTCGTAATAAGTAGAGAACAGCGGATTATCGGTCGGACAAATGATACACAAGAACCGTACGAGCAGTCTAGAATCCTTACGGGTCCTGCTTTCTGCCTAAACCAGCCAGTTAAGTACAGAACACCAATTTCAGCCTATGCGGTATGAATCATGTATTTCAAACATACTGGGTTTATATACCAAACAGACAGACCGCATCGTACCAATAAAAAAGAAAATAACATTTGTCAAGATTCAGCCAAATGTGACTGTGAATGTGGGGGGAAGTAATTAATAGACTAGGGATAACTCAAGAATAGTAAATCGTATAATAATAATCTATAGGTTAAAATAAAGCTTATAATAAGAGGGACATGAATATGAATCGTTTAGTTATTTAGCAATTATACGATAAAAATATATGCATAGTATTGCTTCATAAATAGATCCCAAAGTAACCATTCATTATCCTTATCGGGGCATAACAATATATGAATAGGGATCGAGTTTTCGACCTAAGTAGCACCACATTATACCTATGTGTTATTGGTTGTGATCTAAACTGGTTTCGGATTAGAAGAACATATAACTTTCTGTCTTCAACTGATGAGTTAATGGTTTTATAATATTTAGCCTTTAACTGTTAAATTGATCAACTATGTAGAATTAATAACTCGAATAGTTGTAAGTGTAGCTCGTAGCTGAGTATATTAACGTACGTGTAAATGACAAATGAGTTATCTTCATAATAGATAGTCATCAGAAATAATAAGTTCTCTAAGCTTTAAAAAATTCAGGTCACCTATTTATTGGAAATAAAATGGATTTCAATCTATGAAATGTTTGGAAGGGGCTATATTTGAGTATGATTAGAACATACAAATAAGTATAATATTACAGCACCCTTTCATTCTACCTACTTTTTTGTTCTATATTATTTTGTTTTTATAAAGAACAAAAACTTGCTAAACGAGTTTGACCTTTCTCCATTGTCATTTATTCATATTAATAGTTTGTTAATCTAATTATACTATGATGATGAAACTGTCCGGTACGATAGTTCAAGCCCTTAAATCAAAGGATGTAGCCCAATGAACACATCACGTGTGCTGTAAATCATCATTATTAATGATAAGTGAAGTGAATCCTCCATATATTTCATATGTGTGTGAAACAATAGCGCACATGACATTGTGTGGAATTTAATCATCCCCTCATGACTGCCTTTTTTGTCAAACTTGAAAAAAACTAGTTCATATATTTATGAAACTTACTAACAGTTCATCATTTATCGAATGACCTTTACTACTCATTTGATTTACTATGCCGTGCGATTTTTGTTTGTTTGTTTCAGTACACTGAATACTTGTCCAGATGAAGCTTCGAAATTTGTTCATCTACTTACACGTGGACGAGCAACCTTTTTAGTACAGTCTGATTTTAATACACTCATACAAGTAAGAGCGAACGATAGACATGTTTTTTCGTCTTTCAGGGGTAGGGGTACTCACTTTTTAATATCACAAACTAAGATTTTTTTTAAAAAAAAATCCTTATTTAGGACTGTTCTGTCATCATAGTAATTTTGACAAAGGGAAGAAGAGTATGAGTTTTCCATTCATCATTCAGTTTGCCATTGTTATGATTATTGTAAATATACACATGTACACTGAAGGAGTTGACCATATTTATAGTTTCAATGTATAAATAAGGAAGGTATATTTAAAATGGTTGGGGATGCTTGTCAATATGCCCTTGACCTAGGTTGTGTTTTAGTTGGCATTTGTCACTAAAGTTTACTCGAAGTTTTGAAGGCACTAGCGCAGTATATGGGATTCTAACCCGCGTCACTCAGCTCCACAGCTTGAGTCGTCACCACTGACCTATTCAGAGTGCGGCCCGAAGGCAACAAGTGGGTTGTACTGATGAGTCCCAACTAGGACGAAGTCTGAAACTAGGGTCTTTTTGCTAATTACCTTTATATTCACTTTGCATCAAAACATAGTGCATGAAATGTCGAGCCCCTTAGACTGGTGGCCACATTACTACTTGGTAAATAAGATTCAACCAGCACCAATAATTAGACAATTAAGACAACTGATCACTATTCAGTGGTCAATCAGTGTGCAAAGATGTGTGATGTTGGATTTGTTGTGCATGTGTAAAGGCTGGAGATTGAAATCCATTATAAGATTACATTGTTTGTAACTTAATAGTATACTAGTTGCGAGACCACTGTGAACTGTTATTGCCGATTTAATTTAAAATCTACTCAGTTCTAGAAGATTATTAGGAGGTTTATTTGTGTACCTAACATGTTCTTTGGCCCGAGTCAAAATTTCGCGAGATGACTCTCCAATATAGAAGGCATCACAATCGATACTACCTAATTCATTAGATTGTTTCAAAAACGAAGTTTAGTTCATTTTCTTAGATGTGTTGCAAGAGATATAGCAGGAAGTATATGTAACGGTAATATGATGAAATTCTCTCAGCGATATAAAGGCATTTACTTTTAATGTATTCTTAACGGTATAAATATTCCAATGTTAGGATATTTATCAAATTCTCAGTATTCTTATAGTGTAGGATAAGGCATTACTTTCTCAAATTCATAAGAACATATGTTTAAATCTGAGTCAGATTATAACATGCTGGTCTGAGTTCACGAACATGGAAATAAAGTAAGTGATGGGATTCGAACTTATACTTGGTGCATATAACCTTATTTTCCATAGTTTTGTTGATTATTTGATTTTCCTTTTTTCAATCAGGACATTTTAGAGAGTCATCCTGGCTTAGCGTTTTTAGAAGCAGCGAAAGATTTTCATTCCCGTTATGTGGCAACTGTTGTAGCACGTATCTTCTTCAATGTGAATATTTCATGGTCTGGTCGTATTTCTTTAGGTGAATTAAGACGAAGTAATTTTCTTCCTGTATTAGCCAGTCTTGAAAATGAAGATGATATTAATTTGGTGACACAATATTTTTCATATGAACATTTCTATGTTATTTATTGTAAATTCTGGGAGCTAGACGAAGATCATGATTTGATCATCAGCCGAAGTGATTTAGCACGACACAATAACTATGGTAAGTTTACACCATATTGTTCGTTGCTTATTATATTTTTTCCCAGTTGATTTTTTTTTGGTCTTAACCTTAATTTAGCCGCTGAGTATCGTTTGACTAGGTAGCTTGGTGGAGCGAATAAAACATAATTCATTTTTATTCGTTAACATTTTGTGTATGAGGTAAGATATTGCCGTGTCTCGCAAATCAAACCAGGTAGTTTTCTAATGAAACCTTTATTCAAGATTTTTACCTGGTGATCTAATCTACAAGGCAGTAGAAGAACGTCGATAAAAATCGTCTCATGGTACCCGGTGGTCAGAATAGGTTTATACTCCATTCGTTTGGAGATAGTGTTTTCTAACTCCCCTAGGTGGAGCCTCAACATTCACCAACCTGATTTACCTGTTGGACGTTCGCTTTTCGTCCCCTCGATTTGATAAAAAGCACTTGTGCTACCTAAAGCCAATGTATAGTCGTTACGTACATTTACCTAACTCTATTTTCCTTTGCGCATTCATGAACATTTCTAGTAAGAATTTATCTGGTTTAAGAAGACATAGTATGTAAATTTGTGTAGAATACAGGTTCTGAACAGTGATTGTAATACATTAACTAAGAATACTACCCACTTGTATAGATTGGATAAACGGTGCGAAGTCATGGTCCCAAAACTTGTTCAATTAGTGCTTATTATCCATTTTAAGTTGACGCTTCATTACCTCTTGTGTTACTACTTTCTTCAGTATTTAAACGAAAATTTTCAGGTACATCGTTTTGTTTAATTTTTTTCCTCATACCACATGATAGGCATTTACAAGTGTATTCGATTGAAAAAAATTCATTTCAGATTAAATTATATTAGTTAAGAAGCAGATGATATTTAATAATATGGAACTAGTAATTGTGTAACTTGATAATTATTAGACTGTTCGATTCCCTCTAATTTAATATCATAGTCTGTAAATGTGTATATTGTGTTGAATTGTGAGTCATGTGATTTCACTTATTCATTAAATACTAGTCTATGTATGGTACAGCTGAATTCAAAACATACAGTTTAGACGTGATGGCGTAATCTTCATGGATATCTCTCTCTACTAGTGTTATACTTTTCATTTCAACTCGTGTTTAATTTTCCATGTGTTTAGATAATTTTCGGTGATAATAATTTGGTATGTGTTTAACATTTTTATTTATAAAAATATAAATTATAAAGGTCTGATTTTCAATACACTCGATTTATTTATGGTGACTAAGTCATAGTAGATTAATTAATTCACCAGGTAATTGAATATGACCCACCACACTTCATGTATCAGGGATAATGACACTATCTTGTTGACTAAACCGAAGTAGCTGGGGTGCTGTTTGAACTTGGGACTGAAAATCGAATGTCAAAACCCATTAAGCCATGGTTCCGCTGGCTTGTATACCTCAGAAAGAATATGATTCCTCTGTGAAAGTCAAGTAACATCAATCCTAATTAATATTATATGTGTTACCTATTTTTTAAATGAATCTTTTGAATTCCAATTGTCTCTAGACATCCGAATGCTGCTCAAGTTGATGAAATAAGATCTAAATGCATAGAAATGGTTGTATATCTGGTTTGTTTTCTTTCTTTTTTAAACAAACGACTATTTTATTATTTGGACAAGTTTCTACTTTGTTTATTTCCATGTTTACTCATTGTTACGTGTTACGTTTCAATGCATTTATATATACATATTTTTACAGCTATCTCAGAACGTATGATAGATCGAATATTTAGTGGAGCTGTAACAAGGTGAGATATTTTGAAAGGGAAGATAAATTATTACGACTACCTTTTTATTATTATTATTATTATTATTATTATTATAATATGCAAGTAGTAGCTTGGATTTGTCAATTCATCTGCCTATTCTTGTCATATTCTAGTGAGTAGGAGTAATCTGATCAAAACCGAGTAGCGGGTGCATACTAAAATACAATGCAATAGCCTGTTATCTGTGTTCCGCTCCCCTATACACGTATACATTTTTATCCCATAATTTATCTCTTTTTCCTCTGTTGAAAAATTCCACTGGCTAACCATTATTCAGTACAATTATGACATGAAATAATTTTCATTTTCTAAATTTATCTGTTTGTCTGTGTGTACGTATTGGTGAAAACAAGTAAAGATAGATCGTTATCGAGATGCCAATGTAAATTTTTTCTAAAGAAAAATGGGTTTTCAAAATTCACGTTTTTTTAAATGGAGTTAATTTGCAATGGTATCATGACAATCATTCAGTGCTATAATGATTGAAGTATGCCGATCACGGTGTTTCACTAGACTTTTATGAATTATTTTATTAAAACGTCATTTGTGACCAAATGTTTGTCATTTCGATATCTGGTGTACGCATTTTTTTCGATTTGACGAGTTTTTCATTATGAACTGAAAACATGTCGAAAACTAAGTAAAGGATTGGACGACTATTTTATCCAAGTGCTATTACTTGACTTGGTGTATCCTTGAGTATTCCATGTATGGTGGGATGCATAAGTCGATTAAAGCTAGACCACCATGGAAAACCTGGAGGCATTGGACGGTCGTTTCGTTGTAGTATGGGACTCCTCACCAGTGCACATCCACGATCGTCATGTGCTCACGAGTGACTGACTTCAAGAGGTATTTCCCGGAGTTCTAGTGAGAAGCCCTGACCATCGGAGTTCAACCATGTCTGTTGTGAGACAGTTACTCACTGAAGACAATGGTCAACGGTGGCACAATATCGTGGATTGGTTGAAGTTAGACATTAACACCGGTGGATGCCGGATCAGTAGTCTAGAGTTCAAGCGTTTGCGCACAAGATCGAAGGTTCTGAGTTCGAGTCTTGCTTTTGGGATAATGGATGCTTACTGATGAGCAGTCCCATACTTGGAAGAAATGGCCATCCAGTGCCTCCAGGTTTTCCATGATGGTCTAGCTTTAAGCGACTCATGAATTCAAATATTAAATTGCTACAATCTCCACAAACCTCTATTCTGATAATATTCCATGTATAATCAAACTAACGAACGTCAAGTATTGCATGTGTTCACATGGTTACATTTCAAAAGCAACATGAAAATAGTAAATCTTAACAGAAATTTATAGATTTCAAGATCGACGCAAGAATCCCAACCAGTGATTTCTGTTACTTATTGAGTACTTTCTCAAGAAGAAGTGTAAATCTTAATAAATGATTCGAAATGACAGTCGTTGATTTCATTAAATTTGATCCTGTTATATTGTTTCAATTTATTTTTTATAAAATACTGAAATGATCTTAGTCATAAAATTGACTCAATAATGTTCAAATATCTTGAACCTTTTTCTTAACCTTACTAACACAACTTCAATTAGTCTTGTATTTCCATTTTATCATACACACGGGATTATTCATTCACTAAATTCATTTATTGATAGGACCATGGACTGATGTACCGTCGAATTAATGAATCGATTTGTTCTTTTTCATCTATTATTATAATTATCATTATGATAAAATTCATTTATTGATCCAGTCATAATTATGTAACGTATTTTTATAACCATTGAAAATTGTACGATTTTGTTTCCTTTCATACGTCTACCTTCTAGTATAAAAGTATTTGTATGTGTTCCGCATCCTCTCTCTCTCTACATATATATGTTTGTTTCTTGTTCTTTTGATTGGAAAACTAAGGATTATTGACCCTTACACTTTTGATGTCATTTGGTTTGTCGTAATTTCCTTTTTCCCCACTAATGGTTCCAACATACTAATTATTGACTTAACAGTTAGTCACGAATAATGTCTACTAATGATAACTAATAGAATTAAATCAATAAGGATAGTTTAAACAGATATTGTTGTAATATCTGTCGATTTTCTTTCATCAATGCGTCTTTCCGTTCATCACTTGTATCGTGTTGTGCACAGTTAAACAGAAATGCATATAATGTACAAAAGTGATAAAAATACTTGGTTTGTTGTTTGAATTGCTACGTCCTTGCTGAAAATCTATGCGACTTACAACAAAACAAAAGTTACAAGAAGGCAAATGAAAATCACAATACCTGTGAAGATAATCAATCACAAAAAAGTGACTAAAACGAATTAATTTGATGCTGGTGGAGTAATTAGGGAACTTACTTCTACATGAGGTAGACGTTGTTGATGTTGTCCGAAACGACAATGAATGCTCCTTGGTTAGACCATCTGGATCAAAGCCCCTCAAATGCCCTGATACGCCTGAGAGTAGGGAGAGTCAGCTCTCTCTCAAAATGCTCTCACATGGCCACGCATATACAACCACTACCGGCGGAATCCTTCTAACTGCCTTTTCGCGGAATTACTGTTGTTTACGAAATTGAAAAGACCAAAAGCGAATGTCTGGCGCCTTAACTAGGTTGGTGTATATGGGTGATCCACCTAGGGGAGTTGGAAAACCCTTATTCCAAACCAATGGTGCACATGGGCTCCAGTGGTGCATGAACCAATTATTGGTAAACGGCTACCATGGGACTGTATCTCCTGACGTTGTTCCGCCACATTTTGGATTAAACCTTTCGGTCAAAGACTCGAGTTATGTCCCCCTAAGAAAACCACCTACTTTGGTTTGGGCACCCGAACAGTATCTCAGTCTTCACACAAATCGAATGAATTCTGTGGCGCATATATATTTGGTGTCCTCTTGTACCAATGTTGATGTATTTAAATAGTAATAATAATAATACTAATGATGATAATAATAAAATTCAATATCACCAAAATGATCCACTTAAACTTTATATATTTTACATTATCTCAGAATAAAATATTTCCATAATAACCCATGGAATATCAAAATAAACTCACTTCTTCAGTACTCTAATTTGTAAGCTCTGTATTATATCTTAGATGTATATGTCTTTAGATGCATTTTCCTGTAAATGCTCCCACATCAATATTCCAGTCATTTCAGATATATAAACGTTAGAAGTACTCTATCACAGTCGATAATACATTGATCAAAATCCGATTCAGATTACATTGTTTAGTGATTAAGAGTTTCAATTCAGTAAACGACAAGCTACTGTTCCATTTATTTAACTGATATTTTACCATTATCAAAATGTTTGTGTTTTTCATTATTAAAACAATATATGTATGATTTTTCTCAATATAATTTATAATACTATAATTTAACTGTATTTTGTTCATTAGGATTTTTTTCTATACGATCGTGTTCTTTTTTTTCAGAGGAACAGCTTTTAAAGAAGGTGTTATGACTTATCCAGATTTTGTTTGGTTTCTATTGGCTGAAGAAGATAAACATCATCCTCGGAGGTAATCACTTATGTTATACCTAACTATACATCAAGGATTTTTCCAGTTAACGTTTTATAAAACAAATTGCTTTCTTGATATTTGAAATAAAATTTCTAGTTTATGCGGCATATATATAATGTTAAAATAGTGTTTTCTAAGCCGACTGGTATAGTCATAAATCTTGAATTGTCTTTCTAGACAATATCATCTGAACATATTTCAAAACGAAGGAAACTACCAAAATGTCCTCGTCATTGGCTAACAAACAATAACTTGTTCTGTTAACATTTCATTTATCTCTTTTTCAGCATTGAATATTGGTTTCGATGTATGGATCTAGACGGTGATGGTCTGTTGTCAATGTATGAATTAGAATATTTCTATTCGGAACAATTAGCTCGAATGGAAGAAATGGGGATTGAACCTATATCATTTGAAGATTGTTTATGTCAATGTTTGGATATGGTGAAGCCAGCACTTACCGATAAGATTCGACTATCAGATATGAAGCAATGTCGTCTATGTCATATATTTTTTGATACATTCTTTAACTTACCAAAATATTTGCAACACGAACAACGTGATCCATTTGCTAATTTACGTGTAGGTTTTACTAAAATCTTTTGTAATTAGTTTTCTAAATAGTTGTTCTTAAAATTTCATTATTGTAAAATAATGAGTTTAATTCTGATGACAAAATTATTTAGTTACTCAGTCAGCCAGCTACAACGTAGCACCAGGCGCATATATGCATCGGTCCAAGTCGCCATACTTCATTAGCACAATAAGATTGAACACTAAATTCATAAAAGTAGTTAATTCAGTGGTAGTAATATATAAAAAAAGATTGCATTTAAGGATATAATACAGGAAGAAGCAATTAGCCCGAAGAAACACAGGTGTAAAGTAATTTTAATCTCACGGTTTAAGGGAAGACAAAGAGTGTATACACTTACACCATTGTGATCGGTTCTGAGTCATGTCACCTAGGGTCTCCAACCATTGGTTACGATAGTCACGCGAACCCCAAACAGGTAGTCTGCATCTACCAACATGGCTCAGACTAGAAGTTAGTAACTTCAAGCACTGATGCCACGTTTTGGTTTGGCCGCCTCTTAAATTTCTTCCAACCATCTCCAACAATAGTCAGCATAGCGCGTTGTGGTAATCGGTGTTCAGGAATACGTAACACGTGGCCCAACTATTTCAGTCGATGAAGATTCATGACCTCATCAACTGATTCACCATCATTCTCCAATACCCTGTGTCTAACCTCACTATTACTTACGCAGGGATCCCAGCAAATGTGAGCAATATTTCTAAGACATCTGTTTTCAAATATTAGTAACTTACGAGTATCTTCTACTCTTAATGGCCACGTTTTGCAGCCGTAAAGTAGAACAGAACGAACTGCTGTGCAGTATTTATTTAAACACATAAAAATTGGTACAATGAAGCACCAGATAAATATGCGCCTCACAAATCTGTTCAGTATACTCGTCGCTTAATTGATAGACGGATATCTCTCCTCCATAGGTTATGTAAGTTAACGAAAGCCAAACGACCTTACTGAATCCGTGTAGAAATTTTGTCAGACACTAACCCATTAGGACTGATCAGAGTGCTCACTGATTTTTTTTATCCATGTGAAAAATGTTTTTTTTAGGGTGACCAATTTGTCAAATTATGGCTTATAAGTTTCAATCTAATCTTATATTCTTCCCAGTTTGAAGTTGTACAGTTTATTGTCTCATTTCAATCTATAGCTTTAAGCTTTGTCTATTCAATCAATATATTATAACATGTGTCTAATGGTTTATTATCTTATACATATGTTTTGCTCCATGTGGTTTATCTACCTAAAACAAACAGTCAAATACGGTAGTTTATTTATCTTGATTGAATGGGCCTTAAATTACATTAATATTAAATACTGACCAGTATACTTGTAGATTAGACAATATTAAATCTATGGATGAATTGTTTGTTGATTTGCATCTTATCCAATAATGTGAACTTTGTTTTAATGATCTATTGTGTAGTTGTTATCAGTAGTTCAACACCTTGGGCGTCATAGTTTAAAATCATTTATTACTTTTTTATGAAGGTGCAGATATATCAATTATTTTGAAACTGTATCCTATGTGTTTGGTTTTGTTTACTATCACTGATTTTATGGTTTCGTAATTGTTTGTCTTTTATCCTAGCATTATTTTTCTCGGTATGCTGTTGATGATGTAAAGTGTGATAAGTGTAACCGATCCACTCTTGTGCCACGTTCAATGTCACTATTGATTGTTAGGTTATCACCACGTTGAGTCATTTTAGTCTAAGACTAAGAATTTTGTAATGATTTGATTTTAATTTACAAGATTTTCATATAGATTATTCCTTCTAATGATGTCTGTGGTAATCAAAATGTTTGATGTTATATTACTTAACCACAGATTCGAACTCCTCTCCTCTCCAGTTCAGTTTTAACAAAAGTATAGTATCACTAATACTCATATTAGAGTGTGACTCAAAGCCAATCAAACAAAGCTTTGTACATTGTAAATGAGTTGACTTCATGAAATGAAGAATCATACCGTTCAAAATCAAACGCTAATATGTAATCCATCTCTATAAGGTGAACAACAACAAAGACAAACTTTCTAATATTTATGTTTCTTCAATTTGCTTAATGAATACATCCCAGCTAAATAGTTTCCAATTAGTGATTTAAATCAATTAACTAGTACATCATCACCATAGTAGTAGTATATCATTAGTGATGATAATACTTTCATAAAATATAAGCCAGAATATATTTTTATTTATTTTCAGATGTTCACAATAATAAATGAGAAACAAGTTAGTCTGACTTTTCCACTATGCTATAATCCATAACAGTTATATATATATGATAGAATTATTTCAACATTTTGTTGTGATGAAAGAAACAACTGCTAATTATTTTTATAAAAAAGATTAATAAATGTTAATATTTACTGATTTCAACTAAAGAAAAATTTTTTTCTCATCTCATAACAGGATATTGAAGAAGGGCTCAATGAACTATCCGACTGGGATCGTTATGCAGCTGAAACCTATGAAATGTTAGTCAATGTTGAAGGTGGCGGTAATCCAGATGATGGAGTTGATGATGATGAAGACGATGACGAAGAAGAGGATGAAGAAGAAGATCAAGGTGGAACAGTAGATGATGAAGAAACTGTAAGTAATCAATTACAGAAAAATAACGACAGTAACAATGTAACTTCTCCCACCGCCAATGTTATTTCATTAGTAAATAAAAATGATAAAATCAATCGAAAAGATAATGTTGGATCATGTGGATTGGCTAATAAACTCGAATCAATCAATAATAGTGAATTGATCAAATTGGAATCAACTGTTGGAGCTGGGGAGTGAGTGAGTGAGTCTTAAGTTGAATATTTACCTGTTGTTATTATTATTTTGATTAATAAAATAATCACTTAGGTAGAAAAAACATCTATTTACTATGGTTGTTTTGAAATTTATCAACTTAATTACGTCTTTATGTGAGATTTGAAACATTTTTCAGTTCATCGACTTACTAATCCTTAAACATTTTTTTAATCCATGTAAGTTAGAACTATTTTAACATTTTGATATGTCTAACTGAATGTCTGAATCGGTTTCCTTAGCTTTTGTAATAACCATAGGTCAAATCCACATGGCAACGTGAAAACCGGAGAAAAAGCGCGAAGTGTTAAGTGAACGCTTTACTCCAAGGTTAGTATTTATAGTGTTCCAGAAGGCCTCGGGCTTCTGGAGCCATACTAAGCATATTAGCAGGATAGGTAATCATTCAATCAAAAATGCTACACGTGACTCTTTGCTTTCTGGGTGTTTCCGAGACACTTTTAATCAGCGCTAATTAGATACAATGCTTCTCAGCGAAGAGTACTTTGTTTTGTTAACATAGTTTAAAGGAGAGAATTGTGGATTTGATTTTATGCTGTTTTCCAGGACCATTCACTCTACTCTATGATTTGAATTTATTGAGTTATTTATAATCCATTCATGATTTTTTTCGGTTACGAGGTACCGATTCTAAACTATTATTCTCCTGATAGTTATCATGTTAGTTCACATAAATCTTGTCCTTAAATTAGTTTATTTTGTATTCCAAAAATATTTAACGATTCACTTTCCTTATCCCTCAGGCCGTCTACATTTAAAAGTTAAAGTTGGGGAATTGCAATTGATAATAAATACAAGAAAACCAGCATTTGTGTAGGAAGTCGGGATATATCACCACATCAATTGAATTTCCACCCGATCTTATCAACCAGCAAATAATTTTTAATAACCGAGTGGCAAGTAAATATTTGTGTACAATTGAAGGTCGGGGGTTGTTCCACTCGATTTTTTCTCATTTTGTATAAAAAAGCATACACATTAACTTTTTCCATCGTTTAATATGTTTTCCACATTCAGTACCTAATTGTTTCTTTTTTGGTTATTATTGACTATCATTTTCGGTTGGTTTCATAGCATGCTCAATTTCTTTAAGATATTTTAATCTCTACAGTCCTATACATCTTACTGTAGGTTTTTTGTCTGTGATAACAATTTCATTTTCAAGGACAGTTTAATTTCTTTCAACGCTGATTTAAGATATTTAATGGGTATTATATGTCAATCAATTTAAGATTGTCAACAAATTCTTTCAGTTCTCTTAATTAAAAACATTTCATTTACATTCGACTTTAGTGATCAGATTGTCTTCGACTTTCTATCGTTTAAGATTTTTAAATTTGTGTGTACTTATTCTTAATGATTGTGTGTATGAACGTTTAAGAAATCCAAACTAGAGGTGACGAAAATGTTTTATCACGTTTACATCTGACGCTGATTCTGTAACAACAACAGCGACTGGGAAAATAACAGGGTTTATCATGCTCATTTTGGTCTTGTATTTAAATAATATGTATTCACCACAATAATCTACCTGAAGATTTCATGATATCATTAACATCGTGAATTGTATTATTATCTAAGTTGAACTAATGTAGATAAAAATGACAGTCGTATTCAGTTCTGCGTGTACAATATACAAATAAACGGACGTATACCAATGAATATGTTGTAGTATACAGATATTAAACATCCAACATTTTTTTTATATTACCTTCTTCAACTGTGTTCGCAACACTTACAATTTCGTCATCGTTATTGCTTGAATAATTTTGATGACATTTGATCTCTATTCGAAGTAACTAATTGCTATTCGTAAAAAAGTTTAGCCAAAAAGCCCATACACACAGAATCATTTAAAACATAGATGTTTGTGCCTTGAATAGACACTTTGTCTTCCTAATTGTTTTTTCTCCCAAAAAGCGGATTCAAGTCTTCCCTTTCATTTTTTTGCTCGTTACTTGTTTACTGGTCACAAAGCAGACACGTACATAGTAAATAAATCTGAGAAGCTACCTTTTCTGTATTTTGAAGTATGTTAACAGATATTATTCGTATTTACTATTATTATCATAAGCCCATGACCCAATTTTCCTATCAGACTTCTTCACAAAATTATTAAAATAATTTCTCAGTGCTTTCATCTTTGGGAAAGTAAATAAAATGAAAGTTTTGTTTACTTATTTGTTTGTTTTTCTTGACTGGTTGGTTACACTCCTATTATTCATACGGATGGATTATAAATAATATAATAACGATGGAGTTTGGCTGTATAATAGTTAATAATAAACAAAGAGGGAAGGGTACGTAGAAATTTCAAAGATTCCCATTAAGTTCCCAGTGAAGTCACAAGGAATCAGCGAGAAATAAAAGGTTGACCGAACGATTTCTAAGGTAATATCTAAGAAAATAACACCTTACTTTTCTTAAACTTGATTGCACGATTGTCAAATTTTAATATTAACTTCAGTGTCCTTACTCGAATTTTCTCAGACATCAAGATCACCTGTGGCCTCATATGCACCCGACGATGAAATCATAAACATTGATAAAGCTAAGATTGGTACCAAAAATATACACTGGACTGATTCTGGGCATGAAAGTCAAGATGGAATCCAGCATATAGACTTTAAACTATGGCATTAAGATAAAAAGAATGGGTGTGGTAATAGCCACTAGATAAACATGGAAAGATATAGCTGTGAAACGTAACTACTAAAACACAGCAAGGCAGACTAAGTATGTGGCATGCTGTACATATCCAAAACTGGTTAATACAATTGTAACCGAATATTGAATGACTTGATAGAAAACTGCCATCTAAGTGGCTAGCAAAATAAACAAAAAATAAAAGGAATAATAAATCTCTCATATAAATTCGCCGATATCAATTGAGATAGAATGTTTGCAACTGTAAAAAGGGGAGACACTACATAGATGATCGCACTTTAGATCTAAGACAATTCTCAAGAAACTATATATTCCCCCTTCAATTTTTCGTTGGACATATAAAACAGTAGGATAACTTAAAAAATCAATCAAAGACGTGTCACACTAAACACGAACGAGACGCTAAGTCAACAGCTACTCCAGAAGCGCTTAAAATTATGACAAAATAATAACCTGCATAAATACCCGTACAAGAGGTGCAGAAAGACATTACCTGCTAAAAACAAGGCATAATGAATCATTACTATGTGGTCTACTGCAGCCATGCTGAACGGAAACCCAAAGAAAAATGGGTATTGCGCCCCGTTAGTTGTGTTATTTCAATGTCTCTCCTGGACAGCCAATCCGACGTGGCTGGAAGGGGCTGAAGTATACATAAGATTACCGATGTACGAGTAAGCAGCCGAGTGTTTTGCCCCATGTGCAACCACTTCAAAACAAATCGTGTATAGTGTATTTAGTACAAGCCAGTGAGTAATTCCTTAATAGTATTACTAACACACATAAATAATATGGCTCAAAGCCAAGTGCATAAACCTGCAATGCTTAGAAAACGCATTTCGATACATATTACACAAGAGGTGTATGTCTATACTGATAATATAAACTAGACGATACATAAGTGGTCATTTCACTGAAACAAGAGGAGTGAAACTTCATATTCTCCTACGATTCCAGAGAAAGATCTAATTATTTACCAAAGAAGTAATTGTAGTTGGCCTTAAAACAGATTTACTGATTAATTATATACGATTAGTTAGCTGTGTATTGAATACATTTTCCAATTGAAAATATTTAGTAGCATGAAAAAAACTGTTCATAGTCGAATGAAAATTCATTTGTGAGTGCATAGATGACGAAATTGCCACACTGACAGTTCATTTTTATTATTGTAATGTGATAATGCAAGATCCCGAAGTACAACACAGAACACCAATCAAATCACACTTGATGGAGGAACTATGGAAGAGTTGGACACTTTTTCATACCCGGTCAGCATAATCGATGAACAAGAAAGAGGAAAGGATTGACAAAGTAAGGAGCAAAGAACACACTGCTCCGAGAATTGAAAGCAGATATCAAAAGGATGAATAGCAACTGGAAAGGATTATCTAGGACAGACTTGGTTTGAGAATGTTGGTGGGCGGCCTATGCTCTTCCATGAGAGGCAACAGGCATAAGTCAGTAATGTGACAATGAAGTTTCTCAGGCTTATGTAGTTATCAATAACTAATTAAGTTTACTTGACTAATATTACATTTCATATTATAGTAACCATTATGTCAAATTATTGATAACAATGAAGCAAAGTTGTTAGCATTATTTTAATTGATAAGAATGTCAAACCATCACAAGGCAAGTGAAAAAAGGTGGAACTTATTACAGTATAAAAATAACTAAATATTATTTGTACTTACTGAAAAGACCTACAGATAACCCTGCTTTGCTGATGTTAATAGATATCAGTCCTTTTCTGTAAGGACAACGCTTTTCTGATTCATATTTTTCACAACCTATGCTGTCATTTAATTGATTCTATTCAATTCCAGTTTGCTAATTTCATTACTTCCCAAGGTCATGTAGTATTATTACTACATATATCGAGTTGTTTTACTTTAAATTTGTCTTCCTGAATGTCAAACTTGTTGAAGTATAGTGTCAAGATATAGTGATCAAGGACTTGACTGGGCAAATCGCAGGTGACATACGAAATTGATTTTTTCCAATCATCCTAAGAAGGTGTAGTTGTTTGACTTAGTAAGTCGTTTGTATCTGTTGCTTATAGAGGATTGAATTTATATTTTTTTCAATATGTGTTCACATGGTATGTCATTGATTAATAAATGTCAACTACTATTTAGTTTAATGTATACATATCTGACTGTCAATCAATGTAAATTACATAAAAATTGGTGTACTCACATAGGTATTTTGATTTATTTTAAGTGTCAAATAAATCATTATCTACTGTCTTCATGTTCTTAATGACACTATTCAACTCAGTTTCCAGTAGTAAGTATCAGTATACATGCCATCGATACAGGTCAGTCAACCAGTCTATGGAGTTCGCATTAGAAGAATTTCAATCATTCATTACTAGGAATTACTGTAGACCCTAATAAATTGAAAGTTTAATAGTATCGAGCGTAAGTAGAGTACATATACAATACTATTCAATATTTTGGATTGATTCGACTGAATTGAATTAAATACAGTGGGACTTAATTGTTGTAAACCAACAACCTATCTACATCTCTGAACTATACTTTAAATTAAAGTAACAGAATGAAAAAAGTCTTCACCATTTTTTTTAAAGAGTTTAGAAAACTGAGTATCTAGAAAATATAAATGAATATATTTCTATATACATTGATGTAAGTTAACAAGTAACCATATACATTTTGTTAAAATTTCATAAGTTATCAGTAATTCAATAATTAATCAAATAATCAGATCAACCATAAATTTCTTGCTTGAACTGCTTCAATACGTACATATCGATTGGGATCATCAACTAATTGATCTAACAATGGTAAAATATTTACATCACGATGACGATTAATCAATTGTTCCGGGAATAATTTTATAATGTTGCACAAACTACGTGCGATAATCAAACGTAAACAAGTTGAAATATTGATATTTTGTTCATTTCCTTGATCAAACATTACAGTATCGTTATTCTCCTTGAATAAATAATAAGTCAAGAGGACAACGTCATTAAGTGTTGACAAATAAATATATCCGAATGAAGTGAAGTGATTAAAAAGAAATTACAATTAATGTTGATTGGTTAGAAACAAGCACTAGTCCCTGCTTAACCTCAGGTTTCGTTCTTTTTGGTATGCGCCAATAAAAGCATATCATATAGAATGCTTGAGAGATGTAAATACTTGTCTAGTATTACAGATAGTGTTATTATCAATGAGCGGTTAGTATAGTGTTTTTACGGACTTACCGCTTCCGAGCATTTAGCGTTGAAACGAAATGTATAGGCAAAGTTGTGTCATTTAAACTAGTGATCACCTGGTATATTTGATAGTGTATCAATTAAAAGTTTTCTGTTGACAAGTACACGTTATTGGTCAGGAAATTGATTCGGTTTATGCTAATAAGTTTACTTAACTCTTAGTCTTCTCATTAAGTACGCAGTTGGAGCTCGCCTATGCGAAGTTTTGTGTATCCGTATCAGACTCGAATACTGCACGTCAAAACAAAGTTGATTGACAGAATTTATTCAATAAGGAGAGTTGGATAATTTGACATTTATTGCTATCAAGTCATAAATTAGTATACTAGGATAGTATTCATCTTATTAACTATCATCATTCAATAAAAAAAAACACTTTACTAATGTTCAAAATATTGACGATTTATAGCTTCTTCACTTGAAATCGTACAAATAACTTAAAAGTTATATGCTTAGTGATTTTATTAATACGCACGCTATGGTTTGAAGATATCAATGAATGGTGTACATATAGTATCAGTTTTTGAAGGTCTACTTTCAAATATACAAGGTAATACAGAATGGACTTTTCCTCTGGGGTCTAGAAGGTAACTGACATTGTCACACACATACTATATGATTGGACTATTACAAAGAAGTTAATTTTTCTAATAAAATCAAACTTGTTTCATTCAAACATCTAAAAATATTCTGTTGAAACTGGTTTCATCTGCAACAAGGTAATAAATGCATAAAGAAATGTGGTAGAGAAAGACAACTAGAACAAACCTGATCACTATTGCAGAAATGGATTAATTTTGGCAATTTCTCCAATAGATCATCAGCTTGGTTTTCTGAGATAATGTTGCATAATTCAAAGTTTTTTGTCAAATTATCACTTAAGATTATTGATATAAACTTCAAACCAGCTAATTGACAGTGGACATTAGATGATGTAATAGCGAACAAAGCAGATGGTATTGTCTAAATGAGAATGTAAAAGAAGAAATCGATGTGACATTTTAGGAATGAATACACAAAGTTTGTCAGTGATAAACTTATTGATTATATATATGAATAGATCACTGCAGACAATTTTGAGGCAGGTAATCAAGAATATCTTTTCTGAACTCATGGTTAATACATATATATTTTTAATAACCAATTATTTAAACTGCTTTAACGGCATAATTTTCTCAAAAGAGCCTTGAAATCTCTCCGTTCTTACGGAGATGTTGATTTCATAGTGTTTAGTTCACTCTCTAAGCATTCTAAATAAATGTCGTTTAAGGTACTATTGAAAATCAGGGAGCACCTTGGTGGAGCAATTATCATCATTGGGATCGGAAATATCGTCGAGTTATATAACAAATTGTACAACTGAGCGTTGGTCCAGTAGTTTTAATAGTTAGGGGTTCGCCGTAAGGCCCGAAAGTTATGGTTTCGATTCCTAGTGGAGTCATGAGTAAACAGAACTGTGAAGTTTTATACTAGGATGAAACAACTGTCCAGTGTTCTCTGGTTTTCGGTCGTACTTTTAATGAGATGAAACTGTGAGGAATAAAAATTACACCCTAAAACAATATCTACAAAACTCTCCTCAAAAGAATTAAATAACTAGAGATACTACTGACTTATTAGTAATAACTAAGAGCCGCGAAATCCTAGACAAATAAAGCCTTAATGTAACTAATTTCTGGTAAACGAGGTAGCTTAGCCAAACATGTCACTAGCATGTTAATTTTAAACTGTCCTAGTATTGTAATGAAAAGTCCAGGTATATAGTTGATTATTCAACATAAATGTGCCATAATTTTATAATGTAGATTAAAACAGTTTATACACTTGCACGCTTAAATAATAAATATATTCAGTTTAAATATTACTGATGTGACTGTAAAAAGTTTGGATAAGACGAGTATTTTACTTTACTCTTACTGTCAACTATTACTTATTAAGAGATGAGACAAAGTTTTGAATTATTCTCAGTGAATTAGATATATTTGCAACTCAATAGAGCTGAATTGAAAGATTAGTAAAAAAAATAGAAATTTAGTTGACTGTCAAAATTAATCAAATGGATATGAAAAAAACTACACTGTCACAAGCTGAAAGTGAGACTATTTATCTCATGATATTATTGTTGAGATGATCCTGAAAATTTCTCGCAACAGACATAACAAGTTCAGGAAACATTAAGAAGCAGTTTGCTAGAAATATCGCGAAAATGAAAAGTCACATGTAGAATTTTTGATTGGCTAATTACCACACTGCTACTATGTTTATTAGTATTCTAGAATTTTCAGGAAAACCCAAGGACTTCTAAAATACCATAAAAACCCTATATTTTTTGTGCATAAATGAAACTTTGGAGTAAAGTGCTTCTCGTATATTTTGCGCCTTTTCTCTCATGTTCAAGTCGCTGAATAGTTCTAGCTTGAGAATTACGAGACTAGCTTAGGATCTGAATATAGCGTTCAATCAATAAGATCTATCAATTATGAATTGGATGACGTTGAAAATCTCAACCATTGTATTTAAACTACAAGTCTGAAATTAACATATTTTCTGTGATATAATTATGCTGTGTACTACTGTCGTATGTGAAATAGTGTACAGAATTAAGAAAGAGTCATGAACAAGCCTCAAACATCTTATCCAGTAATCTTTAATTCTTTAAATGAAATTAATTCATAATGAAATACAATGTTATATGTAGTTTGATCAATTCAAGAAAGAAAAAAAAGATCAACACTGAAAATGAATACACCACTAGAAACATGCTTACTTTATTTACTAACTGTTCAGTGAGATATTCATTAGGCAATCGAACAGTCATGTTCAAATAAAATCTTACTATTGAGTCTAATAGCATGTAAAAAGTGGAATGGAAGAAACAGAAAAATTATTGCTAGTGATATTATTGTTATCATCATTATCGAATTATATTTTTTATTATTTAATGTTATTGGTTATTTTCTGATTATATTTCATGTTTCATAGTTTGCATTACCGACTGATTTTAGTTAAACGACTATTGAAAACCTAGTGCTGAACAGCCGTTTCGTTCCAGTATGGAACTCCCCAGCAGAGCACATCCACGAACTTAGGACCTACGGGTCTTACAGAGAGTGCTTAATCGTTGGATGACT